ACGCATGGAGGGTGTGTGCTGTTTCTGGTGTTGCAAGATTGTGCACTTTATTTTCCTTCCAGACCCCTGGGTAGAAATGGATTTTTGTGGAGCAGAAAAGGTGGGACATTTTTCCAGGGTTCTATTCTTCAATGGAAAAATTTCCCATTCATGAGTTTATTAGTAACAATTAAAGGATGCCAATTTGAAAATGCAGGATCAGACAAACTCGGCAGTTTCAAAAGTTTTTAGCTTCGTTTGTTAAAATGCAAGTAAAATCAACATGCCAGATTAGATCATTACATCTCTAGGGCAGTGTTTCCCAACCTTGGGTCTCCAGCTGTTTTTGAACTACAACTCCCATCATCCCTAGCTAGCAAGACCAGTGGCCAGGGATGATGGGAATTGTAGTCCAAAAATAGCTAGAGAACCAAGGTTGGTAAACACTGCTCTAGGGCATCAGATAAATTTCTGATGGAGACTGAAAATCACCCCATGCAGATTGCCCTAATTTGCGGCGAAAATTTTTTAAATTCAGACTTTTCCAGAAAGCCCACATCACAGGGTCAGTCCAGGAAATTTCCCTGTAATAACCGAGAGTTCCCCAAATGTGGCTTTGGCATACCATTGACAATTCTTCAAGATGGCCAGATTCTCTAAAGATACACTATGGGTTTTTTTTAAAATGAATTATTTTAAAAATAATAATAAATTTCCAGAGCCATGTATTTATACTGTTAACGCTTTGCAGATGCTTTCCTATTCTCTGGAAATACAGAGTCAATCCAAGATAATCAGGGTAATAAAATGATTTTTAAAAGAAGACATCTGCAGCTTAACCCTCACCCCACCTCCAATTTGTTGGGATGTGTTTTGGGACACAACCAGCTGAGCAGAACAGCCAAAACTAAAATAAGCGGAAGGGTTGTTGCTGTTGTTTGTTCTTGCTTTTGAAGTGATATATTCCAAATGAGGCCTTCAAGTAGACTGGGCAAAATGCTGATATGAGGAGAGTCAAGATATCTCTTAGGAACAGGCTATGGTGGAGGCAGGCTCCTTCAGAGGAATTGGTGATGTCTCCCAGATACAAAGAGCAGCAAAGCTGTTTCAATGTAGATCAGGTGTGGGGTATCTTTGGCCCTTCAGATGTTGCTGAACCACAACTCCCCTCAGCCCTCCAGCAAACATGGCCATAACAACCAGGAATGATGAGAGTTGTAGTTCAGCAGCCCCTGGAGGAGCGAAAGATTCCCCATACTTGATTTATAGAGAATGTAGGTCTTTGGTCTTGAGTTTCTGGATTGGGGCCTAGAACTGGGTTGCAGCCTGGTCTAAGATGGGTTGTAACAGCAGGCCTACCATGTTGCCGATACATAATTTTAAAAAGAAAAGAAAAGGGTCCCTAAAATGTCTGTTGGGTTCAAGATTGGCCTCAAAACATTGGAGGTCACTTATGTAGATAACCAGGGAAGAATCATTCCAAGATTTAGGAACCAGTGGTCACTGTTAGAATTGTCAGTAGACACCAAGCAAAGCAAATTCATTGTTTGGATTGGAATTGTATTCAAAGGTAATGCAGAGATTCCCCAGTAAAACCCCTTTTAAGCCAAAATGTTCTTCCTTAAGGTTCTTTTCTCCTTCAGTTATGTCTGCAGCTAGAAATCTTGTAGGACAATATTGGAAAACAGCTAGAAGCATGGCAGGATAGACTATGGAGCGTGGCTCTTACAGAAAAAACTTAGGAAGCATCTAAGGCAATTTTGAAAATGTATAGTACACATTTGAAGGACAATGTTGTACGTTTGTCACCAGCTACCCATGGCTCACTGCGAGACAGTCTGTTAAGACAGAGAGTAGAAGATACTTAATTGATATAACCAAATATAAATTAACATACAAACCTGGTAAATATTTTACTGTATAATTTGTAGTGTGCTTGTGTATGTGGCATCTGTTTGTCTCAGGAAACAACAGAGGAGTGCACTTTGGGGGATAAAGTCAAACTGTTGGAAGGTTGCAACGCCTGCTGTGGCTGTTTTTAGACCGATATAGGAGAGACATGTTTTGTTGTAGCTAGGGCAGATGGAGGCATCCACTTGTGTTGCTGTAGATGCACCATGGTGTTTCTTCTCTCTGCACTCCTCCTGGTAGTCAAATATTTATGGGAGAGGGGAGTTATATGCAGATTCTATGTTATAAGTATTTTCAGAAGCTAATTGGTTTTTTAAAAAAAAAATGAGTGAAGACAAGTGAGATCTCCCCACTTCCAAGAGAGCAAATAATTTATGAGAAATTGAGACCACTGTGTTTTGAAAGAGTTTGGAAAGGAAAGGAAATATCTCAGGAAGTGGCTTTTGATACAATCAAATTGTGTTATCTCCCTGGATCTGTCTGAACTGGGACAGAGTAGCACTGCTATATAGTGATTTCAGTCCTATTTGAACAGCCCCTTCTGGAGCTCCTGCATGTTGTTTGACACCTATATGAAACTGCTAGGTGCTATCAGTATGCTGGTGACACACAGCTCTGTTTCACCTGTACATCTGCAGGTATGGCAGTGGAAGTACTGCGTCGAATTCTGACTTTGGTAATGGACTGCGTGAGAACCAGTAAGCAGAATCTGAATCCAGATAAGATCAAACTCAAGTTTAAAACATTTTAAAACAAGCAATGTCATGAAATGATCTATAGATATAATACACAGTTTTTAATTGTCAAATATACATGTGATGGGATTATGAGCTGCTTGTGCGTAAAATCGTATTCCCTCAGAGTTTGTTCAAGTCCACAAACCTCTGTCTGTGACTGAGCCCCTCTGACATGGCTCCTCTTAGTCACTAGAAGATTCCGACAGTGGTTGCTTTCGTAATCGCTTCCAACATAAAAGCTCCTTAACGGAAACACGTCTTCTGGACTCTCTGCGTGACAGTTTCGGGCGAGGAGTGGGTGTCGCTACAGGAGGTCCGGAAACCTCACCACTGTTTTCGCTGGAAGTATCTCTGAGCCATCCCCCCAGCTCCCTTTCCCTCAGTTCAGCTTGTCTCCCCCTGCTGGTTTCCTCTTCCGCTGCTGAGTCTCTTCCAACCTGTCTGAGCCCTTTCACCTCCCTCAGTTCAGCTTCTCTCCCCTTGCTGGTTCCCTCTTCAGCTGCTGAATCTCTTCCAACCTGTCTGAGTCCTTTCACCTCCCTTCCTTCCGATGGCAGTTCCCTGACAATACATAATGAATTTTCATGCCTGAGTAGGGTTGCCTACACAAACAATGTTTTAGAAGGCAATGAAAGTGCCTGTCTGATATTGATAGACCTGCTCAGATTCCGGGAGCTTTAAAAAGAGCTAATGGTAGTCTAAGTTCCATCATGTCCAAATTAGCTTATTGTAGGAAAGCACATTCTGAATTGTGGTGGGAATCCTGTCCATCAAAATTGACAGCAGTAGGCTGGAGAAGAGGGTTTTGTGTTTCAACGAGAGCTGCAAGCGTCACATATCATTGGCTTGTTAGCTGTTCTTTCATGGCATGCCTGGAATTAGCAGGCCCAATTGACAAACAGATGTCCGGAGCCCAGGTTTGAGGGCTTTCGAGAAGCACTTGTGAATCCAACTGTAATGAAACAAAGGAGATTAAAAAATTCTGCTGCTTGCCTTCCACCCCCTTCCTTTCTCTTCTGCTTTTCATTCTTGCTAAGAAAATGAGAGGCAAGGATAGCAAAAATAGAAATGCGGTAGCTGACAATTTGAATAGTCGGGGGTTGCATTAGGATAGGAAATAAATAAATAAATGCAGAGCTAGAGAGAGACTGAATTGATTTCAGAGTTGAAGAATGTGATGGTCTGGTGATAATGCAGGATCCAGCTCTTAAGCCAGGCTACTGCAAGGAAGACAGTCTAGGGGTGGGAATGGTAGGCTGGTTCTAAAGTATTGCATTTTTACTCTTTAGCCCTGCCAAACCAGAAAGGGATCGCCATTTATCTTCTCTAGCTGGAAGTGAAATATAATAGACGTCCCCCAGGGAAATAAACGCGAACCAGATATTTAAAAAAGATTCACATGGGTTGATTGTGAGTATGTGCACAGATATTCTGTGCATGTGGAGGTTTGAAAAGGGGAGAATCCTGTTTCCTGCTTTCACAAATGTAACATGTTGTTTATTCGTGCCCAAACATGCACATGTTTGCTCGTATATTGGCGCATGGGTTTCCATGCATGAAAATTGAATCTCCATGCAATGTAAGGCCATTCTCTTCAGTTGTATCCAGAGGGACAAAATCAAAATATGTTTGATACTTCTGCACAGGTTGAACTTTTGGATTGTCTTGCAATTTATATGAAAAGTGATTCATAACTCAAAATGTTAATAATATTAACAACAATAACAACAGTAGGACAAAACAACAAGTGAACGAACAGCAGTCTGGAAGGCATTCGTACTTCTGCACAAGTAGCTGTTTCATGCAGTTTTTCAGCTGCCTTCAGTGGTGCCTGGTGCCCATTGGAACTGATAGGACAGAAGGCATGGGGCCCAAACAGTAGGCAGGGTCAGAGCCAATGAGAGGCAGAGCCAATTCATTCTAGTTTTGCCCCTGTCCTCCTCTTCCTTCCTGTTCTACAAGGGCCATGGTGAGACTAAGGAGGAGGAAGTTGGAGAATTGAACCTGGGCAATTCTGCATGCAGAGCAGGTGCTCTATCACTGAGCTATACTCCCTAAATGATATGGAAAGGACAGAGAAGTGAATGCGGAAAGCTTTTGCATGCAGAAGGTCCATCTCCCTTCTGTCTGAAATCTCTGGGGAGCTATTGCCAGTCCATGTCAATAGCACTGGTCCAAATGGACCTATGGCCTGACTCAGTAGAAGTCTTCTTAACGGTAGACTTGGGCAGGGGCACTGAAGCACGCACCTTGCTTGACTTATGTGGCCATGATACTGTAAGATGCACAACCTTTCCGCTACCCCAACCTCCAGGTACCTGTGCACATGCAAAGGCATGCTTTGGAACACCACAGAGCTAGTGACAGGGCAAAGGCTGTAGCACAGCGGTAGAGCACCTGCTTTTCAGGTAGAAGGTCCCAGGTTCAATCCCTGAAATCTCCAGGAACTGGGAGAAGATCTATGTCCGAGATCCTGGATAGTCCTTGCTGCTAGTGAACTAGCTGGAGCTATGGGTCTGACTCAGTATAAACCAGCTTCCTATGTGATTTACCTGAGCAACCCGTGTGCTCCTAAAATTGGCAATTTAAAGCTTTAGAGCTCAGTGCTTTGAGCAGCACCCCCTAACGCAGACCTGCCTTTTCCAGTTGATTTAGCTTTCTTTTCTGCAAAAAAGAAAAGAAAAGACAAAATTATAAGCAAGATGGAACAATCCCTGGGGGCATGCACTCACTCTGCAAATCCCAGGAGGTTTGAAGTACACGAAGATAGCACCCCCAGCACTTGACATCCAGAGGAACATCTGTCAATCATGAAGCATACATGCATTGGTAATATGCCAATTGTAGTTTCAGCGGTAACCCGATTCTCATTCCCGGATTCTTTTCTATTTTCTTAAGGATTTGTCTTGAGCCTTGCGAAACCTTCCTGTATGGCGATTGGATTTCATCTTGCCATTGCTCCTGCATTCTCTCTTGCAGGACCACCCAAACCCCACCTCACTCTCGCTCGGAAACATTTCCCGTCCCCTTACAAACACACACAATCTCTCTTGCCCCAATCGCAGCTCTTAATCAGGTTAATCCTGGCAGCCTGTTACAGACGTCTAATCCATGGCGACCCTGTAAGAGGCTTTCAGCCCATGGACTAACAGGTGTGGAATTGCAGGGACCCGCCTCTGTTTTTGAGGCCAGGTCTCCATTTCCCAACATTCTTAAGGGTCCACAGGATTTGGCTTGTTGATGGAAAACTTGGCTGGGATGGACAGCAGTTTCCAACCTGGTCAGCTCCAGCCCCCTGCTTTTACCCCTGTCTGTATTATAAGGATCCATTTTAATTATTTACTATATCTGTCCTGTAGGGACGTGGGTGGCGCTGTGGGTTAAACCACAGAGCCTCGGGCTTGCCGATCAGAAGGTTGGCGGTTCGAATCCCCGCAACGGGGTGAGCTCCCGTTGCTCGGTCCCTGCTCCTGCCAACCTAGCAGTTTGAAAGCACATCAAAGTGCAAGTAGATAAATAGGTACCGCTCCGGTGGGAAGGTAAATAGCGTTTCCATGTGCTGCTCTGGTTCGCCAGAAGCGGCTTAGTCATATTGGCTACATGACCAGGAAGCTGTACGCCGGCTCCTTCGGCCAATAAAGCGAGATGAGCGCCGCAACCCCAGAGTCGGCCACTACTGGACCTAATGGTCAGGGGTCCCTTTACCTTTATATCTGTCCTGTTCTGTCTCTTCCTCTCTTTCCTTTTCTCTTTCCTCTTTTTTTTTTTTAAAAAAGTAACCATGGTGCTTTCAGCACGTCAGCTGAAATCCAATAGTATTCGAGAAGTTCAAGAAATTTATTTAAGGGAAGTATCATTTGGTTGTTAAAGAGGGTTGGGGATTGCTCACTTGTCACTAGGGTTGGGGCAGCTAAGTCTATTTCACATGTCAATTTTACACCTAGAGGGAGGTTCCCTCCCCTTTCTGACTGTTCAGTCCCACTTGCAGTCCAACACATCTGGAAGGCTGGGGATCTCTAGTATTGAATATATTGGTGTCCTCACTGAATAACAGGTCTCAAGATTCTTTGGGAGATGCTATGACTGTTTGACTGGTAAAAGGGTTTACCTGGAGAAATTCTTTCCTTCCTTACCACCAGGCTGATAGCCCCATTTATTTATTTACTGTTGCATTTATACCTCACTTTTCTCCAAGGAGCTCAAGGTGTCATGCAGGGTTTTCCTCATCCTCCTTTAATCCCCACAACAACCCGGTGAGGTAGGCTAGGCTGAGAGCAGTGACTGGCCCAAGGTCACTTGGTGAGTTTCATGGCCAAGTGGGGATTTCAACCCTGGTCTCCTAGGTCCTAGTCCGACACTCTGACCACTGCACGCCACTGTCTCTCTTAGGCGAGTCTGTTTCAAATGTTCCAGGCATGTGGCATTTCTCCTTCTGTAGCCTTTAAAAATAAATTAATAAATCGAAGCTCTCACTGTGTGTGCTTTGAATATTCCGTACATTACGGAGATTTCTCAAGGCTGCTGTATGATGAAAAACGGTGCAGTTGGCAAACATAGTTGGGATAAAAGGGGAACAGAGAAATATATGTTGCTGTTTGTTAATTAATGATACGGGGGGGGAGAACGAGTACGGGGGTTTGAAACTGGTAAGGGGGCAAAGGAAGGACTGGCAGGTGTTGTGATTGGCACGTCCATCAAGAAGATGGTAGGTGGCAAAATCTACTTTTAACATATTGATGGGCTGGAGTATGAGACAGGAGCTGTGGGTGGCAGAAAAGCTGTCTGATTCTGGGTGAAAAAGATTAAAAAACTAACTAATGTTTAAACTTTAAAGTTCTTTTCTTGAAAGCAGGGTGGGTTTGGGTTTTTTGCCCTTTTGAAAAAAGATGGCTGTAACCAGTTTTTTATTGACGTTTCAGCGCATGATTTGATTTCCTGACTAAACGTGCCAAATACATATAGTTTAACTTTGTTTCACATATTTTCCTCACATTGGTGGGACCCATACAATATTTATTTTCCCCACCCCAGCCTTTTTGGATTGCAGCTAACCTGCTCTTTGTCTTTTTCGTGAGGAACAGCAAAAGCTGTGACTTTAAAACATTGCTCCCGAATGAGTTAATGAAAGTTTTGTGCTCTTTTTAAAGAGCTGTGCGTGCCAACCCAGCTTTTAATCTAGGAGTATAAATCACTTTCCCGTCTTATTATTTGTAAAATCCTCCAGGCTTTGGAAATGCACAAAAGGAGTCTTTGTCCTTTTATTAATTTAATTTATAGGTTTGAGAATTTTGTATCGGTGGTTAGCGAAAGCTGATTTGTGCTCCACTCTGAGAATTGGCTGTTCTGGAGTTGCAGCTTGCTCTGCAAAGCCTGATACAGAATTAGGAAATGACTGTCGATTTATAATAAAACACACGGTCACATACATGGAGCAATATTTAAACTCTGTGCCAGGGCACACTGGTTTGCCGCAAGAAAGCTGTTAGCATGCTGAAACAAAATAAAGCCATTTAAAGAATGAAACGTTCTTGTGAGATCAAAGTAAAATGTTCCCCAAGAAGAGGCTGCCCATTGCATCTCTGCATGAGTCATTGCACTGGGCTTGCTTCTTTGTAGTCAAGACAAGCGCTCAGGACTGTAGCGAGGACAAACAGTTCTTGTTGACCTTTTCAGGTATAAGAGTGCCTCTGGTTTTGATTCAGCAGTGGGAGACACTGCTCTAGCAAGATGCTCACCAAACAGTGTGAATCTGTATGGAGTCTCTTTTTTGCTTGCTACATTCATTTTTTGCTCTTTTCTTCCAAGCCTATTAAGCATGACAGCCTTTGCCTTTTGGTGCAAGGTGTGTTGGTTGTTAGGCGTGAAGAAGAAAAAGAGACATGGTTGGGGATTGGAGTAAATGGCACAGATGCCTTACAGAAGGAAAGGGAAGGCAGTGCAAAAATGCCTATTTGCATTTCTTTATTAAAGGAAAGAAAAGCAAGAGGAAAGAAAGGAGAAAAAGATAGGCGGGAAAACCCCTGTCAGCTCACACAAAAAATCCAATAAGCACCAGTACATCCATCTTAATTTACACATACAACTTGATACTGTAAATGTTGTACAAATGTCTGAATAAGCCAAGCAAGTACATTCAGATATAGCAAGGGCATGAAATTTGTACGATGGTGAGTATTTATATGGTGGGCATATTATTATTATTATTTATTTCATTTCTATATCGCTTTATATTTTAAAGAAAAATCTCAAAGCGGTTAACAGCATATTAGATGGTGCATACAGTATTTATCTTTTGTTTCCCTGTGGACTATCAGTTTGCCTGGCAATAAAAAATGTGAGTTTGGTCCCCCTTCCAAACTTACTAGTCAAGCAGGTGGCTGAGAGTAAAAATTAGTCTTGGCTCTTCTTCATTATGGCGCTTACCCTAATTCTGCTCCCTGTTTTTGGCTCACCCCTGGACCCGCTTTTTAGTAATGTTGTTGTGTTCCATTTCCTGTGCCAAGTATGGATTAGTCAGTACTGTATGATGCTAATGGGAGACCCTCTTCGCCAAATACTTTAGAAGACTTTTAAAGGCAACAAGTACATCTAGGAAGCTAAGTTGGATGCAGGCAACATGGTGTCCTCTAGATGCTGTTGGACTAAAACTCTCATCGTCCCTATGTATTAGCCATGCTGGAGTCACAACTGTATGGAGAGTACCACATTTGCCACCCATCAGCTTAGCAATGTGACTTCTTCAGAACTTCCATTTTACTGGTAAATGTGATCAAAATATATTTGGTCGCAATTGTTTGTCCTTGTCAACTAGCAAAGAAAGACACACAGGGTTGACATTTGACATGAGAGATAACAGAAAGTTCTGTGCTTGCTATAAGGTGATGGGATAATTCTCTTTCTAGTTTCCCTGTAGACGTATTCTGAGAGATTAATACTCGACGGGGGAGTCTGACCACGACAGAAGCTGTTGTAAAGAACGAAAGCCCTTGCCCACTTATGTTTGTGTTACGGGCTCAGCTTACTGGCATATTTCTCCGGCAGTATTTCCTCATTAGGTTTCTGCGTCTCTCAGAGACGCAGGCTTAGTTTCCTATTATGCAATTTACCTCAAGCGAATCTTCCCGAAAGCTTGTGCCAGGTTTTTGAAGCTTTTCAGACTCAAGGTTCCCCGAGAGACCCTTTTCTTGGGGCATTGTTGTAATACGGGCCCTTTTATCGGGTTCTCTCCCCCGACATGGGAGAGTGTACAGTATGGGTTTAATTTACTAGTTAAAATGTTGCTGCCTTTGCTTCTCTTTCGAAGACGGTTCATCCCCACCTTCGGAAATCTTATATGTTGCCTATTAAAAGGCCGATGTGCCCAGGGGAAATGTTAGGAGACTGTCCCGGAATGTCTTTATTATTCCGCTGATGCTTTCAGTTCAGTTTACGCTGTATACCAAAGGCATTTCTCCCCCTTTGGACTTAGATAAGTTACACTCTCCCCTTCTATGGCAGAACAAAGGACTTTTTTCTGTGCTCTTTAATATGCTTTTGTGGGTCGGGGGCTGAGATCACAAGGTGGGAAAGGGAATTTGGCCTACCTCTCCAGTCGCGTCAAGTGTGGCCACTCTCTTGAGATACTGGCCTATCTGGGGGCCACTAGGGGCGCATCAGAAGATGGCTGACAATAACATCTCTCCGACCCACATGAGGTAATTTGGAGGCTGTGATGGGAGTAAATAGCCTCCCTACCCCCCCCCCCCAGGATTGTGTGGGGGGGCTGCCCTTGCCTGCTGTGCCCTATACCACCCCCGAATTTGTGGGGATGGGGCACTAGGCAGAATGCCCTCCTGTAGATTTCGGCGCTCCTGGATGCTGCCTCTGATCCACACCTCTAGCTGCAAGAACTTCAAAAGAAATGATTAGGATGAAGCGAATGCACATATTTCAAGGAAGGAGGGGGAGTAAAGACTGCTAACAGAAGAGATCTCTGATAAACAAGACGAGTCGGAGGAACATGAATCAATCAGATGAAGACACACCAAGACTCGGTATGGCAAAGGGACTGGATGGGGGAGGGGAAAAAAAATCTTTCCTTTCTTTCCTCTATGTGATTAAACAAGAATCCCCCCCCCCTCACAAGTCAGAAATGTCATTTGAAGGACTTAAGCTGTGGATTTACGTCTGTGTGGAGATAAACTTTCTAACCAAAGCATGTTTTAAGAAGAGCGTGGAATGTATAAGGGCTTTGGAATGACGCAGTTAAAAATACCGTCGCCATATTGGGAAGTTCTGTCGGAGGACTTAAGTCTGGGAGGAGAAATAGAGAAATAGAGCTGTTTTTTTATTGTGGGTGAATCTCCTCAGAGGGACTTAAGAGCGACAATTCTGTGATTAATGATGGAAAGAGCGATGTTATCTATGAATGCGATGATATATGGAAACCATCTCGATTTGAGGATTGGACGAACGGAAAAATTCACACAGGATTATTATTGGTGTTTATCGGTTTAAGGAGATTATCAGAAGAGATCATAAAGAAAAAAGAGAAAATATACGAACAAGATGAGATGTGGAAACAGCAAGATAAGACTGGATAGAATTATGAACTTTGTTTGGACTGATTTGGACGTTAACGCAGTAGCAAGAAGATGATCAGAATCCCCCTTCGGATCTTGAAATATGGGTCCCCTCAACAAAATTTAAAATTCGGCTTTGTAATTTGGAATTTATGTGATGTGATTTGATTTGATTGGCCGGTTAATAAAAAATATTTTTTTTTTTAAAAAAAGAGATACTGGCCTATCTTGAATGTGCAGAAAACTAGTCTCCAGAGCAACCTTTGGCAAGCCGGTGCCCTTCAGATAAATGTTTTGGATCACAGCCTTGATCAATCCTTTGACTGATGGTCAAGGATGATGGGAGTTGTAGTCCAAAACATCTGGAGGGCCCCAGGTTGGCAAGGGCAGCTTTTTAGCAGAGGTGTGGAACTACAAGAGAAGCACATGGTGGAGGGGAGCATATGTATGGCATCAGATGTAGGGCAGTTGAGCCCTGTGGGCCAAATGGAGAGGCCTGGAGGTTCATATCTGGTCCATGGGCCGGAAGTTCCCAACCACTGTCCTGCAACTGTGGACCTTCACAGAAAGCTCTCCCTTTTGTGTATAATATTTCACATACACACACTGTAGTTTCTGTTGTCTCAAGTACGACTCCACATCCAAACTGCTGCTTGCTCTAACTGAAATTGAGAACCCAGTCCAAGAGTTTGAGTGTCTGAACTGTGCAATATGCACAGCCCAGTTCAGAAATGCTTGCCTGCTTTCTTTTCCCGCTGCCTCTGTTCTCCCCTTTGTAAGCTGACTTGGTGTAACATCTTTCAGGGCTGCAAGTCGCTTTTGTCGCGTTAGACTAGGTAGCACATTCAATGGCTTATGCATGCTGCAAAAATAGAGTTTCTGTACTGATTGTTGTACGTAATGTCCGAGGCAGCCAGCAGCAACAATGAAAAGCTGGAGTATAAACATTCAAAAGAAAAAAATTAAAACAACTTTGTTACATCCACTGCATGAAGGAAGACATTGTTTTGGTTTGAAGATTTTCCTATTTCTTTGGAAAACAGCCTCCACACTTATTCTGCTCCTCTATGGGCACACCCTGGATGCCCTTTCGGAAGGTCCTTGTCTACAGTCACCCCGCTTTTCTTTTCTTTTTCTGTTTCACTGTAATTAAAAAATGCCCGTCCTCGTATCTGTTATGGGACAGATGGAAAAGACGCGGCTCCAAATTAGCGAGTGTCACAAGATCTTATCCTATAATTGAGGCGGCCAAATGAATTTGTCATGGTGAGGGTAATGCGTAGCTTTCTCTCTGCTGCTAAAGAAGGTTCCTTTTGTCTGCAAGAGCCAGAGGCGGTTTGGGCAGGAACTGCACATGACTTACCTAAGGGCAGCATGGAAAGGAGAGGGTGGGGTGAGTGGGTGTCCTGCCTCTCCTCTTTGGCTTTCTCACACTCTCCTCTTCCTCCGCTTCTCCAGCTTCGAAACTTTGCAAGTCCTCAAGAGGAAAGAACTTGCCCTGTCTGCCTCTCCAAGTGGCCCCTTAATCGCACAAGTGACTCCTTACCAATTATTTCCATGGCGCTTTAGAACAGGGGCAGCAGAACCCTTTCAGCCTCACGAAGGCCACATTCTATTCTCGGCAGCCTTCTGAGGGCCACATGCCAGTGGTAGACCAGGCTAGAGGGAAAAGTGGATGGAGCAATGCTTGCAAATTTAACCTTTGTGCAGTAGGCCAGTTTCTACACATGGACCCCAATCTCTCCTCCATCCAAGCAAGTGGGAAGATATCTCGAGATGTCATATCTCGATATATCATTGGCATACTTGGCTTGAGGGTTCCCAAGGTGGGAACAGCGGTCTTCATCAACGTTTGGCTACCAGGCACCATTTTTATTCAAGATGGTAGACCGAAATGTGACTTTGGAGTAACTTCATCATTTTTTTTTTGTCAGCCACCTCTTGAGATATTGTCACCAAACTCAACACAAGGGTTCCCAAGATGGGGTGGCAGTCTATGTCAGTGTTTGGATCCCAGGTGCCATCTTGAACTAAAATAGCAGAGCAAAACATGACTTTGGTATGACTTAGCATGACAGGTCCAACCAACCACTCTCAGGAAAACCAGATATTTTTAAAATCACCTTTTCTGTTGTTTCCTCTGGCTCAGCAGTGTGTGCAAGTCATACTTTTAGATCCTTTCACCGTTCTCCCCAGTGTTTTGATGGATGTGTATTTTGCTAATTTAATTCCCATTGCTAACCCCATGCCCCCCCAATGGTTTTGATAGCATCCTATTCTCTGGACTTGGGCACCCAGCTCATCAGGGACAGGGTGCTGACAGAAGCTTAACACCAAACAGTAATAAAACTTAGTGAGCCTGGCTGGCTCAGTTGGTTAGAGCATGGTGCCAGTAACACCAAGGTTGCAGGTTCAATCCCTGTATGGGACAGCTGCATCTTCCTGCATTGCAGGGGGTTGGACTAGAGCAGCCTTTCTCAACCTGTGGGTCCCCAGATGTTGTTGAACTACAACTCCCATCACCCCTAGCTATCAAGGCCAGAACTCAGGGATGGTGGGAGTTGTAGTCCAACAACATCCGGGAACCCACAGCTTGAGAACCGCTGGACTAGATGATACTCAAGGTCCCTTCCAACTCTACAGTTTTATGAAACTAAATAACAATGTAAAAATAAAAATAAAACCACCCCTGGATTTCAGGGATGTGTTACAATGCCCTCGCTCAAACAGTAGGGGCACACCATCTGTTTATTTCTTAAATTATTGAGTAGGGAGCCTCAATGCATTCTGGTACTCCCTGCCCCCTATCTGAGCAATTGTATGTTTCTTCCAGCTGTAAATGGACTGATGCAATAAATCCCTCCTCCCCAATCCAAAATTCTAAAGTACCTTGAAAATCTTGGGGTGGGGGCTGGTTAAGGTCCTACCCTTTAGAATTGATGCCAATGCTGCAGTGTTATCTTAGCTTGCAATTATAAGGCCTGGGTGTGTGCTAGCTGTTTTTACACTTAATTGGACAAGGGTCACTAGCTACCACTAAAACATATGTTGTTGTCTGGATTTTGGCCTGCTGAGTATGCTCTCCACATGAATTTCCGCAAAATGCTCTCCTCCCCTCTCCATGTAAGCAAACCTGTCTAATCTTCATTTGTGTGGGTTCTCTCAACTCCGTCTCTGCTTTGATTGTCCCCCAGCATAGGGTGGGAAACAGATTTAGCTCATGTTAAAAACAAGCAAATGGGACTTTGAAAACAGATTTGTCTGTAAGGGCATTTTGAAATGCTTTTCTTTTGTAGTTCAGTTAGGCCCAGGTTATACACCTGGGCATGTGAGCAGTCCTCAGTGAGGACTCCATAAACCGTGAACGTTTTGGACACATTGCAAAAAATAAATAATAAAATAAAATCCCTATGATATCCTGTTTTCCCCCTCTCTCTAGTGTCAGTGCATATGTATTTCATACGTCTGTCAAAGAGCTGCTGACTGGTGTGTGCGTATTTAAGAGCCATGACGCTCAAATCCGAAGATAATGTCTTTCTACCCCAAAATACAGTGCCGGATCGTGATTTCAGGCCAAACGCGGAAATTGTTCAGGCTCTTTAAATGTTTCCGGCATGTGTCTTGTGCTGGGGGAGTGAGGGTGATATTCTGAATGGGTTGTGTGTGTGTGATCTTACCCATAGAATTTTCTCTCATTCACCTTCCTGTGGTTCATCTTTGCTGGGTAACCTGAGACTGATTCACCCTTGTGCTATTCCACGCTGGACCGAATCCATTAGCTCAGAAATGAGTTGCTGGAGGCCACAGGGGATTCCATCACGAATAATAAAACCACTGGAGAAATCGGTCTGTATTTAGCACTGGCATGCAGTGTGAATTAGGGGTTGTGCCATATCAGAGTTATTTCAGGCTCCCCTCCCCTTCACTGTTCATCCTCTTCTTTCTCCTGCTCAGTACAGTGAAAGGCTTCATATTACACAGTGGGTGCACACTGTGGCCATCCACACATGGGTGGTTCTGCCTGACTTCCGGCCAGACCCAGTTGACTTCCAGCCAAGCTGCTTGATCTGCCGAGCCACCAAAGAGCCTGGGGCAGTCCAGCACCCAACATATACAGCAGGCAGGGATTTCCACTTAACCACACGCTGGGTGGACCTAAGAGCTCTTGAACCAGTACACATTTAAGTCAGTTCCTGAACACGTAGTTTTGGGGATCGACATGTAAATGACTCAATACTTTCTTCCGCAGGACTAGTTTGGTATATGCCGGTGTCCCTCAACCTGGTGCTCTCCTGGTGTTTTGAACTGCACCAGCCCCCACCAGCACAGCCATTTTAAAAGGCAACACCCATCAGTCTCAGCCAGCATGGCTGTTTTGGACTACAACTCCCATCAGCACTAGCCAACAAAACTGTACTTGCTGGATCTGATGGAAGTTTTAGTCCAAAACAGCTGCTTTCCACCAAGTTGTGGAAGACTGGTGTATATGTACACACACACACACACACACACACACACACACACCTATGATGACTGTGGTTTTAAGCCAAACTGGGTTGTATATACCAGGGGTGGCCAACTCCCGAGAGACTGTGATCTACTTTCAAAATTAAAATCTGGCAATAATCTCCCCCTGGTTTTTTGGGGTTCAGGTCAGACTTGTTGAGCTTTCTTTTAGGGAGAAGGAAAGCCCCATTTTTATGCAGATACTTTCTTAGGGGGGTAAGTTTCGTTTTTGGGGAGGTTAAAGGCAAGGGTCAAAGAAAGGGGGAAAGTCACTCACAATAATATTGCTTTGAATGAAAGCAGCCACTGAGAGAAAGTTCCGTCTTCCCTTCCACTGATCAGACAACAATAGGGGGCATGGCAGGAGTCAGTTTCAACAACGCTGAGGAAGGGGAGCCAGAGATCAACCCGTGATCTACCAAAACCTCGCGGGGATCTACCAGTAGATTGCAATCAACTTGTTGGACATCACAAAATAGCTCTTTGGGCAATATTCACACAAATGATTGGGAAGTAGGTGAGAAATTCTCCCTCTCCCACCCGAAGGTCAGGGCTTTTTCAATTGGAAAGGCTGCCTCGTTGTGTCTTTTTATAGGGAAACGTTCACAGATGTGGTAGTGGGGCAGGCGGGCGGGGGAGGGGGTGGATTGACGACCAGCATCACTTGATTCTGCTCATTGTTAGCCCTGATGTTTATTAATGTGGTTTCTGGGTTGCAGCAGTGGCCCTCGGTGGTGTTTTGGTGTGTGTGTTTTTTTCCTTTTTAATTTGACTTCCATACAAGAGGGGTCATTAATAAACTGATTAAGGAATTCTTGAACTCTTTCCCACCAGTTTACGGTGCAACTGCAGATGTTGGGTTTCAAGCAAAGGGCTATAAACAAACATTGGCATTGGGATGAAAGATGGGGTGGCTGAGGGGAGGCAGAGCTCATTGCTTGCTAATATCAGGGACAATTAATACCGGAGCTGGTATGCAAAACTCTTTCGTGGATGGTAGTCTTCCCGTTTTTAAGATGGAAGAAAGGGTCAGTGAAGGATTGACCTTGTTAAGAGACACTTCCCTCCTCAGATCTCAGAATCCTTTACCATTTTGTGAATGTTTGGGTCAAGCAAGCTAGGAGGGGTGTCTGTTGGGGAAGGAGCTATCCCTTCCTCCTCTCAAAATTACTCCCCAAATGCAGAAACATACGAAAATGTTGTCGTATGCAGAAACATACGAAACTGTTATACCAAGTTGGACCATTGGTTCATCTATCTCAGGGTGGGGAATCTCAGCTCCAAGGGCCAAATTGGACCCCCCCCCGCCTGTCTGGTCCTCCCCACTCCTCAACCACATCCTTTCCTCCAGGCCACACCCCTCATCAGCCCTGCTCTAAACCATCTTTGGGGGTTTTTGCCTGTCTGGAATGTGTCCTTGAACTCTGATTATAGCTCTTTCTTGCCAAGATCAGTGTTTCCCAAACTTGGGTCTTCAGCTGGACTACAGTTCCCATCATTCCTGACCACTGGTCTTGAGAGCTAGGGATGATGGGAGTTGTAGTCCAAAAACAGCTGGAGACCCATTTGGGAAGCACAAGCCTAAATAGATGCAGAGGGCTGTGTGAATGTGTTTAGAAACTAGTCTACTGTGCACAGGTAAAATGTGCCTTCATTGCTCCACCCACCTTTGCCTCTGGCCCCGCCCACCACTGGTATATGGCCTTCAGCAGGTTGCCCAGAAGGGGATGCAGCCCTCGGGTTGAAAAAAGTTCCCCTTCCCTGATGCAGCACAGGATTGTCTGCACAGAGGATGGGCAGTGTCTCTCCAAGGTTCCAGACGAGAAATCTTTCCCAACCTTACCTGGAGGGATTGAAGAAGGGGCCTCTTGCATGCCAAGGGAATACTTTGCAATTTTGCACACCTCGAATACTACCTTGGGATACGGACCCAGTGCAGCATGATGCCTAGCCTGAGCCTGGATGTGGAGTTCTCAGAGGATGAAACAGGTACCCCGCAGGACAGAGACATTAAAGAACTGGGAGAGGGCCCAGAATCCAATTTTGAGGATTCCCTTTGAAGTCATCTGGATTGTTCTAGTTTCCCTATTTTTCGCTCTATAGGACGCACTTTTCCCCCTCCAAAAATTAAGGGGAAATATGTGTGCATCCTATGGAGCGAATGCAGGCTCCTTGGCTTCAGTGATAGCAACGCGAAACCTCCGAAGCGCAGAGGGAGCGCTCCCTCCGCACTCCGGAGGCTTCGCATTGTTTTCGCTGAAGCCTGGAGAGCAAGAGGGGTCGGTGCGCACCGACCCCTCTCGCTCTCCAGGCTTCAGGGATAGCCGCCTGAAACCTCCGGAGCGCAGCGGGAACTTGCGCTGCGCTCCAAAGGCTTCGGGTTCCTTTTGCTGAAGCCGGGAGAGCAAGATTCTCCTGGCTTCAGCAGAGAGGGAGAGCTGTGCAGCGCCCCTTCAGCGAAGTGGGAGGAGAAATGGAAGGGGCTCCATTTGTCCTGCCGCTTTGCTGAACGGGCGCTGAGCAGAGAGGGGGAGATTTTTTTTTTCTTGTTCTCCCCCTCTAAAACAAGGTGCGTCCTATGTTCGGGTGTGTCCTATAGAGCGAAAAATACAGTACCTGTCTTGACCCTCGCCTGAACTGTGCCATTGACCTTGGAGTGTTGCCTGACGTTGTCTCTGGATCACATTTGGACTGAGACAGATATCCTTTGCTTGGCCTTGCTTTGCTTGCACGGGGCTGCCTTTGCAACCCTGCCATCCTTGGTAAGTATCTTAGTGAAGGCTTGTGCTTTCTACAGCTGGGACCCCTGCAGGCATGTGGGTGCTGGGGTGACATGTTCTTGGCCACCCATGCTTTGCATGGATGGACCTTGGGAGTGACTTTTGGCATTGCGCTGGGACTTGTCTCCAGAAGTTTGGAGACGTCAGTGTATTCTGGTTAACCGTGTTTAAAAGCTGAGTGCCGCTGAACATCTGATGAAGCCACAGCTACTGTGCAGGTTGTTGTAGCTCCCAGCCCAAGAGCAACAAAATTAAGGGACCTGGGACCCTGCTTTAATTAAATTTGAAGTGCTCATAAATTCCACTCATTTTTCATTAGCACTCCCTATCAGGAAACCTGGCTTCTGGTATTCGGAATTTAATAAGGCAATCTACATGGCCTGGATCCAATAACTTCTGGCTGGTTAAATCTATTAATGGGTGAGAAATTACTTAATTTGCCTCTCCTGTTTCGCCTGATGTTAACCAGATTCACAGCCTGAGCTCTCAGATTTAAACAATTTTAGAGTGGTGCGTTTGAATTAGCTTCTAGTAGTTCCCTCCAACATCTTTCTCCACCCCCCCACCCCACTTGGGACGCTGGCATCGTCATGGGTCTTGTGTGGAGGGAGATTGATAAGGAACCAAGTCTGGGTTTCTTTTCTTCTCCTTTTAATGCAAGCGAGGTTCTTCCCCCCCTTCTTTTTCCCCTTTTCTGAAGTTGCCACTTAAATCCATGCCGGAGAAGCTCAGCCTTTGCCTCCGGGGCCTGTTTGCAAAGAGGAAGCAGTTTAGAAATAATATACCACTTTTATTTTGCATAAGAACTGCTTTGGGTTTCTGACATCTGTTTCTAGTTTAAAATTGAAGAGGGGGAGCAAGAGAGCGAGATAGAGAGTTCCAAATGGCAAGGGACAAGTATAGATGGACCCCCAACCTGCCCCAGTCCATTTTCCGAGTATCATGTCATCCTGTACCCCAGTTTTAAAAGCATGTGATTTGAGGTGGCTTGTTGTGGTCCGCTTCTCATTTAGATGAATTAACTTTTCATAACAAAGGAGGAGAGAATGGCCATCATTTTGCAGGGACAGAGAGTGGAACGGATTCTTAGTCTTCCATTGTGGTTATATACGATTCCACGCACCCACCCACCCCAATTGTATCATGTTGGCTTGGGAGTTTGAAGGATGTGACTTGGGGTGACTTTTTCTTTCTTTGCTCCGAACACTTGCTACCTGTTCCAGGCAAACAATGGGCATTCTCTCACCTCTTTCTTTGTTAGGAAAAACTAATAGATGCAAATGAAGAGGGGAACCTCCTACCATTGGTGTATGGCCCTCAGAAGGTTGCCCAGGAGGGAATGTGGCCCCTAGAGTAAAAAGGGATTCCCTCACCCCTGGGAATCAACAAATCTGTCAATTTTGTTCCCCCCTACAATTTTTCCAATCTTATTTTTGCATTAGCTTGCAATTTATTTATTTTTTAAAAAGGTCACCATGAAGATTTATTGGTATTATGATGCACATTTCTCAGAAAACAAATATTTTTCAAATACAATTTTGACAAGGAATGGGGGGTCCATCTTGTCAAAATTGTATTTTTTGCAAGCCATTTCCCCCAATATGACACATGTTCATATGTTTCTCTACACTTTCTGCTAACATACACCATTTGTAGATTTGTTTTTCTGCTGGAGAACTGTATTGCAAAATTCAGAGAGGTGGAAATTTCCAAGGATAGCTGTGTTCACGTATTATTTTGGAAAGTGGCAGATTAGGTCAGTTTGCAATAAAATGTAAACTGAACCCAAATTTTCCTCCCAACCCTAGTGTCAACTTCATTTGATCAAGTAAAAAAAAATCAATTCTGCTTCCCTGCTAGTTTCCCCCTCTTCCCCAATATTTTTTTTTTGGGGGGGCAGGGGGGATTAACAAGTGACGGAAGGCAGGCGTGGCATTTTCAGCCAGCAAACCCCCATGATCCTAGCCTCAAAATGGTGGAAGCGGAGCTTGAGTTCCCATTCAAGTGAGGGCAGGTCTGAAGGTTGCCTGAGCCCACTTTGCACTGGAACCACTTGAGTTGGGCTGTTGGTCATTTCAAACATCCTTGCTTGGGGAATGAATGCCCCATTTTTCTAGGATTGTCACAATACCACAAACATCCCAGTAGCCTGAGCAGATATTCAGACAGACAATTCTATTTTGGGCAGTTTTGCCAAAGCCACATGTGGTAGAGTAGTGAGACCAGTAGTTCCCAAACTTTTTCGGGCCACTGCCCCCTCGGTCCCATAAATTCATCCCCAGTGCCCCCTACCTTACCCTATAAAAAAGCATTATTCAGAAGAGCGGTTTGCACAACCCACTAAGGAAGATAATAACACAATAACGTTCAAAGCAATGACAATAGTTGCACGTTCATTCAAAATCCAATTGCAACTATTAAGTTTAATTAATTCAACAAAACTGATGAACTTAGATTTATTGATACCAGCTTTTCAAAGTCTATAGTCATCTACAGCTGCTGCCCCATTGCCTCTTAGCACGCCCCCCCAGGTGATTGCACCCCCCGCTTGGGGAGTTAGAGTGTCACATTAGGGCCTGAGAGACCAGGGTTTAAATTCCCACTCAGCCATGAAGCTCCCTGGGTGACCTTGGGCCAGTCACTACCTTCCAGCCAAACAAACAGGGTTGTTGTCAGGATTAAATGAGGAGGGGGAGAACCATGTACACCACATTGAGCTTCTTGGGGAGGGGAAAGGTGGGCTATAAATGTAACAATAGCAACAATAAATTTTGGAGCTTAGACGTCTTAAGAATACTGGTTTGTGAGTCCACCTTCTCCCCTGGAGCGGAGAAGAAACACAGCTTGACTCTAGCAGTAGACTGTGGCATTACTTTCCCTTGCAGCAGGGAGCGCTGCTCTTATTGACCCCCAAAAAAGTGGGTGGAAAAGCCAGCCCTGCATCCAGACCCTGCAGCCATCTTTGCCCTGCTTTTGCCAAGGATCTGATCCTCCCTGTCTCAAACTGTTGACGGAGGAGCAGTTTGTGTGACTTGCCAACTTCCTCGCTGCACAGAAAATAGCCACAAGCTACAATGCCCAGAGACGTTAACGAATCCATACCAGGATTTGAAGAAGCCATGTTTTTAATTATTCTAAAACAGGAGAGAGAGACGGAAAGTGCATTTATTAGAAACATCTGTGGTCAACTGGGATTCCTCTTATCAAAGTTCATGTTAACCACTTTTGAGTGAAGCAGTAGCATGTTTGCTTTGGGTGATACTGTGGGTTAAATCTCTCTCTTTCCCCCCTCCTTAATTACGGCATTTGTGAGTCGAGGGCTGCAACGTTACAGAGCAACTTTAATTTAGCGGCCTTTCCTGCATGGGGAGAATGTCACATTCTGCTAAAGGTAAAGGGACCCCTGACCATTAGGTCCAGTCGTGACTGACTCTGGGGTTGCGGCGCTCATCTCGCTTTATTGGCCGAGGGAGCCGGCGTACAGCTTCCGGGTCATGTGGCCAGCATGACTAAGCCACTTCGGGCGAACCACAGCAGTGCACGGAAATGCCGTTTACCTTCCCACCAGAACGATACCTATTTCTCTACTTGCACTTGGCGTGCTTTCGAACTGCTAGGTGGGCAGGAGCAGGGACCGAGCAATGGGAGCTCACCCCATCGCAGGGATTTGAACCGCCGACCTTCTGAACGGCAAGCCCTAGGCTCTGTGGTTTAACCCACAGCGCCACCCGCGTCCCTCCCACATTCTGCTAGGGAAAGTCCATACCAGGGAACTTGAAAGTGGCTTGTAAATAGCCACTCGCCTGCTAACCTGGGACAAATAGGGATCTGCTTCAGACAAGGCAGTTTAAGAACATAAGAAGAGCCTGCTGGATCAGGCCAGTAGCCCATGTAGTCCAGCATCATATTGTCACTGTGACCGACCAAATACCCATGGGAAATCCAAAAGCAGGATCCGAGCACAAGAGCACTCTCCTTTCCTGCAATTTCCAGCAACAGGTATTCAGAAGCATTGCTAGTAGCCGTCAATAGCCCTTTCCTGCATCCACGCTGTGATAGATTTATTTCTCCACTCAATCTAAACCTCCAGCCACCTGCAGCTAGACTTGTATTCCGTGATTTCAGCTACCTCAAGAATAGGGGGGAGGGGATGAAGGGGGAGAGAGGAGGGAGACCATGCATGTTTGTCTTGCTCCTCATTTGACCACTCATCCAATTTGTGTTGTGCAAGCTTCGCATGGACGGAGCCCAAGCGTTGGGTGGCAGCCCATCTGAGCCCCCTGCACTGACTTTGTAGGGAAATGCCCAAAGAGAAAGGGGGTGGAGTGTGAGGGAAGGTCAAGTTTAGTAGTTCACACCTGGAAAATGTTTAGAAAGTGTAGTTAAAACAAGGCTTGATCCCCGTTACTGAACAGATGCAGTAGCTTGAAACCACCATCAGATGCCTGCTGCTCAATTTGGTCTTCCGCCGAAGGGGGAAAAACTGAAGGCCGTAGCACTGGGGTATTCATTGGCTCCTCACCTCGGGCAAAGAGGAATCAGGGCCTCCCGCCAAACATTCATGTCTTTCCAGCTCTCCTTATAGTGAGAATGGCAACCCCAGCCTGTTTGCTGGGGGATGGGGAAAAAATCAAGAAATACAAAAGAGGGCAGAGGTATTTGTGGGGAAAATCACAAATGGAATGTATCTCATTCTAAGTTACAGGAAATGCAACTGTCATAGGAAGTTGCCTAACGCTGAGTCCATTTAGCTTAGTATTGCCTGGACTGACTGGCAGTGGGTTTCCAGCATTTCCGCTCCATCTGGACATGCCAGGGATTGAACCTGGGACATTTCACGTGCAAAGATGATGCTCTACTGCTGAGCTACAAACCCCTTCATATATAACAATTGAGGCAAGGAAGGAAATGCATTCATATACATGGTGGCTCCTGATGGGGGCTATATATCACACATGGGCCATTGAGACCTGGTTTTTCTGGGGGCCCAATAACTTCCACACAGCCCTTCTTCCTCCCCTGGCCCCCAGTAACAGATATTCATTGCTATTCCACTGCTAGCCACCAGCATCAGTGGGCAGAGCTTGACAGAATGTAACCAGGATGTGTGTGTTTTTCTGTTCTTCCCCTATTCTTTTGATAAAAGAGGTTCTCTAAACCTGTGTTGGAGTACATTGTCAAGCTAATCTCCCCACCTAACCCTGCTAATCTACCTAAGAATGTAACAAAAGGCTGCTGGATCAGACAGTTGGCCAGTCTAGGAGGGGAGAGTGCTCTTATGCCACAGGCTTCCCACAGGCCACTCTGAGTACAGGATGCTGGACCAGACAGGCTGTTAACCTGATCCAGCAAGGTGTTCTTCATCTTTTTTGTGAACTGATTAGAGATTTTGTTGCAATCAAGCATTATATAAATGTTGTCAAATGAAAGAAAAATAATAATAAAAGAAGTCATTCATAGTTAACTGCAGAGAATTGAATTTCCAGGAGACACTCTTTGGTCTTGTTTACCTATCATCACCAACATTTTATTTTATTTTATTTTATTTTAGAGGTGGGGGTAGGGATAAAAATATACTAAGAGCCTAAATTACAAATGAAATGATAATTATATTTAAATTACGATTAAATTATATCTGAATTTTTAAAAAAAGAAAGACAGGCCTGGAGAAAAAGGAATATCAAAAGGGAGTAAGGGCAGTAGCAAGGAAACACAGCACAACTGATGCCGCAGAAGGAAATCTGGTGCAGATAAAAGTCCCCAGTGGAAAAATTAGAGCATCCAAAGAAAGTTAAGCAACCCTGTGGAGTGCCCAGGCACAGCTACAAAAGCACCATGAGGAACTGGGCAAGCCGACAGCCTCATAAGGAGCAGAGAAAAGAAAAGGCCCTGCTTTTCATACCATCGGGTCCAAAAATAGAATGAAAAAGCCACCTTCCAAGAGCTATAGAAAAATATCTGAATTGTCTCTAAGCAGGGCTTTTGGCCATCGAGGGCTTTGTTTATTTTTTAACGCTGGAGACTTCCATGGCAAACGCTTCCGTCAGCTGAATCGAGTTATCTAGAAAACACAAGGAACAGATGGAAGTTTGCAGCGATGCTATTTGCAACCAGGGGGTTTGAAGTGAGCAGGGGGGGGTTGCGGGGGGAGAAGCCCCCTGAGGAGCCACAGGCAGTTGTCATGGAGAGAGGGAAGGACACCATCCCAATGCTGCACAATCTTCTCCTCATTGTTCTCTGCGCCCCCCCCCCCAATAAAAGCCTCTGGACTGGGCCAGGGGATGGACCTCAGTTGCAATGCAGCCAGTTTGGTAACCAGGCCTGAAAACCTCCAGCAAAGAATTCCTAGGATCGAGGGCAGCCCACTCAGACCCAGGAGTGTCCTCAGAAGGATTGAAAACAAGTCTGGTTCTTGGATTCATGGAAGAAGCCATTGGAGGTAGTCTGGTGTAACTGACCTTCTCAATGAAGGGCCAGCAATGCAGGAGTATTAATTAATACATTGGCTTCCACATATGTCCCAAGCCAATCCATGGTGTACAATAATAATAAAAAAGCTAACACAATTACAAAAATGGCAGCAGTTGAGTTTTTTTGAAATACAGAAACAAAACCCCTGTACAAAATGGACACCCCTGGCAGAGACCTATTCACCCAACTAGGAAAGTTTGATGGATCAAAGGTGCCTTCAGTTGTGCAGATACTGGGTGCCTGTCGTGTCTCAAGAGCCTGCACCTAAATACTTCCAGCCAAGGAGAGACCATTCCCTCCAGGGATCACCTCAGCTCTACTAGCAAAGGGCCCTTTGCACGAGAAGGTTGCCTGAAGCCAGTTCCCCATAGAGCACATCCTTGGAGGTCCTTCCATCTTCCATTTTGTGGACGTGACCATGTCAGTGTAGATGTTGCTGGGACAGAAGTACAAACGTGCTGGGAATGTGGGCTTGGGGAGAGCACATCTTTGTTTGAAACTCTGTCCTGCCGTGTGAAGCCCAAAATCCTCCTGACGGAGCGCATGTGGAAGGCGTTGAGGCATCGCTCCTGGCAGTTGCAAGTTGCCCATGACTCACTTTCACAATGCAGCTTTCTCAACACACTGGTAGACCTTCATCTTGGTATTTGATATTTTGTCAGTAGTTAACACATATTGCTCAGGGAAAAAGAAGAAAAAGAAACACAGCAAATGCTTTACAAACATGATGCTCTCTGTGCCGCTGCCCCTCCACCTTTCTGCCATTCAGTCAAAAGTACAGTGGTACCTCAGGCTACATATGCTTCAGGTTACAGACTCTGCTAACCCAGAAATAGTGCTTCAGATTAAGAACTTTACTTCAGGATGAGAACAGAAATCGTGTTCCGGCGACGCGGCAGCAGCAGGAGGCCCCATTAGCTAAAGTGGTGCTTCAGGTTAATAACAGTTTCAGGTTAAGTACAGACCTCTGGAACGAATTAAGTACTTAACCCGAGGTACCACTGTATATGCAAGCTTTGGCAATATCCCCCCCTCCCATTTGAAATGGTGCAGGCCCTCTGTTGTGGAAGGAGGGCCTTGTCTGTTCTCTAGCATATGCCAAGTGGCGCTGCGTGCTTTTGACTGGATTTGAGGCCCTGTTCTTCCGAATACTGGCCACCCTCTTCACTGTGCCTTTAGGGCTTCATTTCACAGAATGAGGCCAGTCATATCATTAAACCTTCTCTGCCTTGTTTAGCATCATTACAATACTCTCCTCGATTTTCTGCTGCTGTTGTCAGCTGAGTGCCTGAAATGATTTGGATGTAGATTGTAAAAACAGCAACACCTTTTCATTGACTCTCTGTAAATAGATTCAGATAAACCAAGGCTAATAGCCATGTGTTGAGTTATTATAAGTGGGGGGAAGTGTGCGTAATATGACAGTCACTTTTGACCCCTGGCTTCCTCAGACCTCCTGCTTAGCCATTGTCTGTCTCTGGGGTAAACCATCGCTCAGTTTATAAATTAGGTGTTACTACTGCTAGCCTGTAACAGATCCCAGATTATATCCAGTCCTCCATCTTGGAGTGGGAAAGGAGCACAGGGCCCCGGGAGCACTGCATTTATTTTAAGGATATATTCAGGACCGCCCGATCCCTTATATCCCTGCCCGATCACTGAGATCTCTGTTGGTGGTCCGGCATGGCTCACATGCACAGTTTGTAACTGCAAGAAGCCATGCATTCAGTGCAGTGAAAATGTCTATACCTTGTAGTGGTCAACTAACAGTCATTTATATCTAACACTTTTGAAATTTGCAAAGTGTTTGGTTATAGCAGTTTGGTTTGTGATGGGCAAAACCCCTGGAGGTAGGTTGTTAATATACACATTTGACAGACAGGTCAGCCAAGGCCGAGGGGAGCCCAGACACCAAGGCTACAGATGTTATTTCAACTGTTGCTCAATTAAAAAAATTACAGCGGAGAGGCTGATTCTCTCTCTTCCAAAGTGCAAGTACCGTATTTTTCGCACCATAGGACGCACCAGACAATAGGACGCACTTTGTTTTAGAGGGGGGAGAACAAGAAAAAAAAATTTTCCCCCTCTCTGCCCAGCGCCCCTTCAGTGAAGCAGCAGGAGGCGCTGCACAGAGAGGGGGAGAACTTTCCCCCTCTTGTTTTCCCGCTCTAAAACAAGGTGCCGTTTAAGGTGCGTTCAGGCGGCTACCTTGGAAGCCTGGAGAGCGAGGGGTCGGTGTGCACTGACCCCTCTCGCTCTCCAGGCTTCAGGTTCCTTTCGACCTGCTCTTTGGGGCTGGCGGGGGGAAACCCACCACCAGCCCCAAAGAGCAGGTCAGGAGCAGCGGAAGGCGCAGCGGAGAGGCTCCTGCCATAGCTGCGCGTCACCTCTCCAGCCGGGAGAGGGTCGCAGGGCTATGGCTTCTTTAGCCCCGCGAGTGCTCTCCTGGCTGCACAGGTGACGCGCGGCTATAGAGGCTCCTGCCATAGCCGCACGTCACCTCTCCAGCCGGGAGAGGGTCGTGGGGTGCTTCTTTAGCCCCGCGCGCGCTCTCCCGGCTGGAGAGGTGATGCGCGGCTATAGAGGCTCCTGCCATAGCCGCGCGTCACCTCTCCAGCCGGGAGAGGGTCGCGGGGGCTGCTTAGCCCGCGCGCACTCGCCCGGCTGGAGAGGTGACACGGGGCTGTAGAGGTTCCTGCCATAGCCGCACGTCACCTCTCCAGCCGGGAGAGGGTCGCGGGGCTATGGCATCTTCGCTCCATAGGACGCACACACATTTCCCCTTCATTTCTGAAGGGGGAAAAGTGCGTCCTATAGAGCGAAAAATACGGTAGCTCTTGGTATTCATTTATTTAAATTGCAGCGACTGGAAATTTCCCACCAAGAAATGAAAACCCCGGCTTTGCTTTCCTGACTGAAGCACATTTTAAAAGTGATTCAGTTGAGGGATTGCAAGGAAATGGGAAGCCAGAACTTTGCCCTCCTGAGCAGCCTTGGACCGACTGAATTAAAAGAGTGTTTACGCTTGGTCATTTCAGGGTTGAAGAGCGCAAACCCAATTTCAGATGAGAATTTCTGCAAAGGAAGGTGGCTGATTTGATGGGGGCAATGCTGCCCTCTGTAGGAACTTCTATTTATGGTATCGGTGGTGTATGTGTGTGCGTGTGTGTGTGTATGAATGGCATAGAGAACCTTGTCTACCCCATACCATATTTTAGATCAATCCATTTGTATCCCTTTCACATTCCAAATCACTTTCTAGAACATGCTAGCAGGGAAACTTTCTTCTGTTCTTTTCGGATGTCATGAAGAAGAAAAAGTGTATAGGACCTCAGGTGTAGGACACAAGAGACCAAACCACAATCCACCCCCTGAGTGAATGTTCTCCAGCCTTGAGTGGATGAG